TTGCGTTGGCCAACTTACGGAGAAGGTCATGAACGCGTGGAATGGGAAAACTGTCATGCTCGGTATATCTATTGATGTGTCTCAAATCAACACAAAATCGCCAAGTCCCATCCGTTTTCTCTTTCAAAAGAACAGGACTTGCGTATGGGGAATCTGATGGACGGATCACCCCCAACTTTAGCATTTCGTCAACTTGCCGGTTGATCTCTGCGTGTTTGTGGGGTGCCGTTGGATACGGACGCTGTCTCTTTGGATGCTCCTCCATCATTTTTATTGTGTGTTTGACACCTTTTATTCTCCCTAATGGGGCATCGACTACGTCGGGAAACTTTTTGATAAGCTCCTTCAGTTGGTCGGATTCAAATTCACTCACTAATTGTAAATTGCAATTGGAGACGTGAACTTTACTAACTGTGAGCGGGGACTGTTGACTTGGAAAGGAGTCTGACAAACCCCATTCAAGTGACCCTATGTCCAACACTAACCCACAATTATGAAGAAAGTCCATGCCCAAGAGCATTTCATTTGAACTGTTCATGACAGCAAATGTGTGAGTGTATTCACGATCATTTAAATTAAATTTTAAGGTAACCATACCAGTAGGAAGAGACTCAGTACCATCTAGCATGATAACTGGTCCTTCTACCCATTTATTTACAGAAAATCCTTTCCCTAATACTTTCCTAAGCGATTTTAAAGTTACAATTGAAATCGTAGAACCAGTATCTGCTAAGGCATTTAATTTACAGGAGGGGAAAGTAATAGGAAGGATAGGAATTAGTCGATTTGGATTTTGAATTAGAGGATGAGTAACCACAAATCTGTGGATGGTTACTCCCTCCTCCCGTTTCCCGTCGCATCTTGTGACGATTGTTGACGCTGAGAGTGTTGATCACTCCCTTGACCACAATTCACTTGAGGTTGTTGACGACGACGACAATTCTGGGTGGTATGGTTGCTTAAATGTGGACAAAATGTACACACTTTCGGTCGTCCTTGTTGCCGGAAAGGTGCCACTTGTTGTTGTTGCTGTTGTAGTTGTTGTTGTTGTTGTTGTCTATTATTTGAGGGTGGTGGAGACTTCCTTCCAGAATTTGCAGAATTTGTTTGATGAGATTCCACTTTCTTCTCACCTTTTTGCCAGGATTTGTACTTGTTGTGGGACTTCTCTTGTACACGACGCTCAATTTTTGACGCATAGTTGATGAGATCCACAACTGTTGCAGCACGACTCGCAAGAAGATTTGCTTTCAAGTACGGGAGGGCTCTTTCTGCAATGAAGGTGACAATTTCTGCTTCTTTGTTATTTGTTGTCATCCTGTTCACTTTCCGGTACTGAAGGTCCGTCTCGAAGGCGAACTTCTGGAACGGTTCATTGTCATTCTGCCTACGTAAAAGTAATTTCTCTAGTGCAGCATGAAGATCAGAATCCGATGCATACATGGTGATAAAATGTTTCTTAAAATCGTCCCATGTACGAGCAAAAAGCTTTCGTTCGTTGCCACCATAATGATTGCTTGGGGTCTTGATTGAAGACTGCAGGCAGTGATAGTATCCAATCTTTCCGAAGAAAGCGCTTCCGTTCCATGTGATTCTCCAATTCCATGATGAAATTTTCAGCAGAATCAATGTTCGGGTTAAATTTTGGTGGAGGGATATTGCCTACTGAATGAAATAAAACGGGTCCTGATGAGGAAGAACGAGTTTGCATGATTGCGTCCGTAGGATTTACGGGGATTTCTTCCTCTTTCCGTTCCATGATTCTGGGACCAGAGATGCACCACGCCGGAATCTCATCATTTTTGTTCTCACTTAGAGGGTTAGTGACTTGTGGTGGAGAATGCGCCAAGAATTGCGGTGGTGGAGGACATGACAAGAATTGTGGTGGTGGAGGGACGCCAAGAAGTTCCACGCAAGATGAGGGGTCATCTTGAGTTGGTAGCGTGGGCTTCATCTCCTTGGAAGGAGCTTGAACCCTTGAATTTGCATGGATGAACTCATGGATGATGCTGGACTGAGCTTGAATAGTTTGGTCTTGCTTATCTATGGCAGTTTGCATCCTCGTCAATTGTTCATGAATCCATGTGACCTCGTCTTCAAATAATGACTTCATGGAATCTTGAAAACTTCCCATTTCCTTTTCCACAATAGCATAATTGCTTTTTATGCAAGATGCTAAATGGTTCCTGTATCGTCCTATTTGTTCACCAAGGTGCCTAATCTTCTCATCTACATATTCCTGGAAGGGCAGATTTGACTGTTGAGGGTACGGGTTGTCATAACCAATAAGGCCGGTAAGGATAGGAGAGGGAGAATTATGCAAAGCTGCCTGTTGCGATACCAATTGTCCTACTGCTTCGTGCCTATTGTCACAACGAATATCAAATTCTGATAAGAGTTGTTTGACCCTAACTTCTAGGCTATTCACCCGACGCCACAATGCATCGGTTTGCTCACCAAGTTGGGAATTTTGATGATTACTCGTTAGAATGAAAATTTGAGCAATTTCAGAGGTTAACGAATCAAAAATGCGTCTAATTCTTACAAATTGATCATGATTTTTGTTCTGGGCGGCAAAAATGATCTCGATATCCCTATTCAGAACGTTTAACTGGTTACCTACTTTTTTACGACGACGATCCGCATTCACAGATTCAAAACGTGGAATCATCCAACAAGGTAAGTGAGGCAAAATGTACTTTGTTACCAGACTGTTCACCAGGACACCGAGCAAAAGGAGAACCGCAGCAATTCCAAACACTTCCATCATGAAGAGAAATCCCCCATACCACCATGATGACGATACGAGGGGCGCTGTTGCCTCTGAGGTCACGTTTCCCTTGAGGTTGGTGAGTCCGGTCATGTCGACGAAACCGAAGAGTTGAGTCAGCATTCCCATGATGTCGGATGTCGTTGCACCATGCAGGAAGTGAAGGAATATGTAATTTAATACGTAAAACACACTTTCCACTGCCAACGACTCGAAACTGTTCACCAACTTCTCCAAACTCACTGTTTATGCCCTTCGCACTTTTTATCGCGAAGGATTTCCAAGTTTACTATTGCACTTTTTGACACTAAGTAAGGGTTTCGAAGCACCAATTTGTAACGCTCCCTATTCTTTTATGGGATTGCGTGTCCTGATTCACATCCACTTTCGCGGATGCCCCTTTTCTTTGTGTCGTTGTGCAATAAACTTGTTGTAGAAACTCACTTTTTTATAAGAATTATGATTAAATTTATTTACATCAATACCGACTGAAAAATATTGACTTTACAGAAATGCTCGTATTATAAATACGTGGGAGAGCTAATCCTATTATTTAAATTTTAACTAATTATCTAGACAGGAACTTATTATTAAGTTTCCGAAGCCTTAAACCTTGAACTTGATCTTGATGATCACTAAAACTAAACCTGCTGATCCTGAATCTAAACCTACACTTTTCTTCTCTTCTCTCTCTGCTTACTCTATATATACGTGATCACATAAGCCACGCCTACTTGATCACTACCTTTACTTACGCTACATATGCACAAACTACGCCCTCATGATCATGATGATCATGATGACGTAGGCATCATTCTGTGCTCCTCATTCCTATCCTCTCTTCCCCTTCGTGATCTCCTCCTGCACACAATATGGTTTGGACACACATGAGAGGCGAGATACATATGAAAACTACATCTATGTATTTTGAATCCCTTGACCTTTGAAATGCTGATGTCACATTTGCATCAGCGTTCCAAAGGTTGCAACTGATATTTGGACTCAACAGGTATTGGCTTTACGAAATAAGATCTACACATTTGTGGATGTACATATGTAAAGCATGCACTGTTAAAAATCTGGCAGAGCCACATAGATACTCCGTGCTGGTATTGATTTGGTAATTATAATTTACTACCGAATTGGTAGTAAATGTAATTTATGAGTGGTAAATTTTTCATTACCACAGCATTACCGAACGGTAATTCCCGTTAATACCTGTTCCGGTAGAGTCACATACATACGTACTCCGGTCGGTAATGATTTAATATCAATTTTCTAATAGTGTGCAGTACTATCAAGTTTGGTATAGGTGTCGACCCTTAACGCGTTGGACACCTATGTATGTTCCCTAGTAAGTATGGGGCAAGAAAGGCTAACTAATCCTACAATGCATCAATTGAATGACAGGAAACTCAAAAAATCATATATGTACATATGTCCAAAATTTTATCGATTAAAATAAACCTGATTTTACGTTTAGGTAAATAACAGGCTTTAGGGTTTACTATTTATGTATTTGATTCAACGCTAACGTAGCCTTTAGATTTCTACGTTGTTCAAAGTTTTAATCGGTATTATTCGGTATAAGGATGAGCAACCGTTTGTTACATTGTGTATTGGTTCTTATATAGGCACATATGACATTTATGGACTGGTCACTGATTGAAAGTGTCAACTTATTTTGACCTGCAGAAAATGAATGCATGAATCGAATGTTATGAAACTTTTGTGCAATGCTAACAATGACCAGACTGAAGTTTTTTTATCCTTTAATGGTCAAAATACACCTTCCCTATATATGTCTCAGTTTGCGTATAATTTCGTAATATGTAATACACTAGTGTAGAAGCCCGTCAATTGACGTGAAAAATAGGCACGTCGATAAGCCCGTTACCCCAACATTAGTGAAGTTAGCCTCTCCTGTTCTCTCTGCAGAGTGGAGAGTGGAAAGGAGAGGCTAACTTCTCAAAAAAGCCACCGACCCAGCAGCGATACACTCGCCTGCTTTATATAGTTTAGATATGTATGACATATGTACATACTATGGATGTCATATGTATTTACATTCCAGTAAGCACTGTAGTAAACATAATCGATAAAGCTCCAGGTATGTATGTTTAATGTGATATGATGGCTTTGCTTATCTCATCCGGTCATTGTCCTTAAGCTCACACTTAAGACCTCAACATACACAAATTTTCGGTTTTTACACATTCATAAGACAAGTGGATTGGAGGAAGTTAACCCAGGCTCTAGATTCCAGAGATGACCAGTCTGGGTTTATTCATCGTATATAAATTAATACGCATTGTAAGTATTTGCATACCTATATACATACATACATATATATGTACACTGTAAAGCATCCGGTAGAGTCACATATGTACCCCGTACTGGTATTGACTTGGTAATAATTCCCTACCGGAATGGTAATAATTTGATTCGGAGTGGTAACGATTTCATTACCACCATATTACTACGCGGTAACGATCGATATTACCGATGCCGGTAGAGTCATACATGTACGTCGTCCGGTAATAATACGTAATGATTCAATACCAATTGCCTAAGAGTGTATAATTACATACATGTTCTTGCACTTGTATGCATTATTCGATTGACCATCAGACTATGAATTGAATACATTATAACTACAAGATATTACTAAGGGGTGTTGATTTAATTCGTCCCAGATGTGTATTTTTGGGCTCCAACTAGATTCACGCATAACCTTCAAACAACCTAATAATTGTTTTTGAAAGTTTACAATGAGTAGAATGAAGATAAGTCCGGATCATGTGCATCACCAGAAGAACCCACGTTTTCACCGCTTTTGAGTTATACGCTTTCAAAAATTTTGGCAAAATCTCATCGAATTAAATCAACATCCTTTACATATTTACGTATTTGATCATATGTACATACATAAAATGAGTGATTATGTGAGTAATTGGTGAAAGTTTGGCAGATTGTTTTCACCAATTTGAGTAAATGCTGTTTTCGAATATAGTAAACTTTCTACATAATGTGTTTATGTTCATGAGTAACTAGTGAAATGTGAGATTATGTGTGCTAAATATTGTGATGAATTTCTGATGAATGATTTTTAAGTGTGCTGGTTTGTATGTGAATTAACTTGCTCTGAACAACTTTTGGTTAAGTTTAAACGTTATAACGACGATAACATTTATTCACTATTTTTGAGTTGTAAATATCTACATACTTGTCAATTGATACTACACTCTTAGAAAAATCAATACCAGATCAATACCAGGCGGTATTCATATGTGACTCTACCGTTGCGGTATTGAATCAATACCAACTGGTATCATTTTACATTAATACCGTCACGGTATGGATGTGAAATTTGCTGTATTGATTTTGTACTGCTTTGGTATTATTATATTTATACTTGACGGTATTAATCTTTGTACACTCGGTATTGAATCACCTAAGCACGGTAGTGACACACGATATCCTTTGGTATTATATTCGTTACCATAAATGACCATGAATCAATACCACGAAATGCAATCATGAAACCGAACGGTATTAAATATTTAGACACTAGTACTGCCTGGTATTGATTTAAAATTTATTTATTTTACCTTTTGCATGAAAAACTTTACAATAAATACATAGTACACACTACGCAATAAGAATTTAAGGAATCTGTATATAATAAAACGACAAAGGGGTAATATATAAATAATTACAATAGTATATACTACAGAAAGTGTCTAGAAATAACAAATGATCCGGAAATGTTACAATTATGTTTAACCTCCATTGCGTCGTGCTCAACTAGATTTTTAGCATTAATAACATGGTATCTATTATCTATTTCCTTAATCCTATAAGCAAATAAATGACGATCAAAATACTCTACAGCTAGCTCTTTGAGAATTAAAAGGCATGCATTAGGCTCAGGTAAAATGAATTCAGTTATTAAACCAAACTTTGGGAAGACCGGTCCAACGCCGTAGCAAACTACAAAGTTCTTTCTGTAATTATATCCGTTGAACCAAATTTGATTTGTGCTCAACATTTCCGTTTCAATCCCAATGCTATTATCGCCCAAAAATATCACTACAGGTTCAATTATATCAAATGAATCTTCAAACTCGGATAATTTTACTTGAAAAATTTTGTCGGTTTTCAACCCGTAGTGACACTTAATGCTTTTAAAGACGCGAGAACTATATTGTTGATGTCTCATTGCGAGAGAATAACAAATATTTTTGAAATTTCTATTATTTTGGGCTAGTTGCGCAAAATAATTGTGCTTGCCTTCGAAACGCATTGTCCTCAGAGAAATTAAAGGGCCCGATTGTTTAATAATATAAGGATAGTGGCACATAAAATGGTGTTTGGGTATCAAATTTTGGTTGGGAAATAACTCTTTAAACAGACAGTGGTGTTTGATAATTGTGGACTTCAACCTCAAAATTGAAGAATCAGAAAACCTTCTAGAAAATATGTAACTCGTACACTCTAACAAGTGCAATATCAGTTCCCAATATTTGCAATGTTCTTGATCAATAATCAAGTCTCCAAGTATTACAGGTAAAAATCTAATTAAACACCACATTTGAGCGGCCTTTTGCCCTATTTTGTTTCCTGGTCCATCTAAACGCACAGGGTTGGGTTTATTTTTGGATTCTAAATATCCATAATCAAAAGCTAATATGCGATAATTAATTGTTTCAAGTGTAAAACAACCCAAACCTATTAACTTCTGCAAAACTATTTTTATCTCATAGGGGATGACACCTTCTAACATGTCATGCATTATATCAACCATAGGAGATTTTAAAAAATTAAAATGACAAAGTTTGTTTAATTCACACGAACGTTGGACCCCGAAAGTTTTTGAATTTAAGTGTAAGTCGTAATTAGCAATATTTCTAATTGACATTTTTTCGTGGTCAAATTCTTCTTGAGTTTCAATTTTTGAAATATAACAGATTCTACAAAAATAATTTGAATTAAAAGATTCTGCAAAACCCAACAGAGAATTGCCACCTAAATTGTCAAATACTACGGAGCAAATGGTCCCCCGAAATATATCATCACCAACTAAAATTCCGGTCGTTTCGAGAATTTTAATATCGGGAATGATGTGTTCCAGTATAGCATTATGGCCATATTTTTTGGCATCCTCACTATAAAACAGAGCAAGCAAGTGAATTTGAGACAGTTGAGAATGTATAGAATCCGGAAAATTTCTTAAAGTAAAATATAGACCCCCTAACTTATGGACACCCTTTTTTGACCCCAAAGGATTGACTGTCTCGAAATCGTCATAAAACAGTTGCAATTGAATGGAGTTGGGAAATTCTGAGAACAAAGTGTTTGTTTTAAAGGCTTCTGAATCTGAAAATTTTTCAATGATTCCATTTAAATTTACTTGCATTTTAAAGTAATTAGACAATTCCGGTGCACGTAAAATTTTCTCTAATGTGTTTAGGAGAGGGATGTACATAAATGTATCCTCGACAACTATTTGCTGCCGCTTGCCCTGTCGAACTTGAACCTCAATCCTACTACCTAAGCTAATTTCCCGTGGTAAAATTAATTTATCATGTTTTTCATAGTTTTTGCCGCTGGTATCCAGTTCTTACTTTACCAAAGCTTGACAACAGCGATTTAATCTGCGAGGAAAAAAGGTCAAAGTTTTCTTGCTTATTAAAAGTTTGTTTCCCTAACTTATTAATTAAATCAATTATTTCGTGGACCGCATACTCCATTTGCTTTGCGATAAAATCCAACTCCGAGTTAGTAACACCATTTGCCGATAAAGAGGAACAAAATTCCCCCAAAACATTTCCAACTATTTCAATACCAGTTTCAATCGAAATGTTTCTAAAATTGTCTAAATTTTCTAGTTCGTTAAAGTTTTCATATAAATTATCATTTAACAATCTACTACCGGATTCTAACTTAGGATAATTTTCGTTTGACTCGAAATTGAAATTAAGATCTGCCATTAAATCATGAGATTTTAAGTGGCGAATAAAACCACTCCAACTAGCTATCGGTACGTTGCACGTACTATAAGGACAAATTAATTGAGCAAGGTTAATATGGTTAAAGTTATGTATGTACTTAACATGACTAATAAATTCGGTAGCTCCTAAAACTATTTTGTTACAACGGGGACAAACAAACATTATTCTGCACTTTCTGCAAGAATTCCGCTGAGCTGGGCAGACACGGATTTAATTTTCCGGGAGAGATCTGTAGTTTCGATGTCAATATTGTAAATAAAGACTTGCAGAAACTTCCAAAAACCTTGCAAATTTTTGTCGTACTCTGCTCCAAACACGTAATGAGATTTAAAGAGAAGATCGGCCGCCTCAGTGATGTTGCTGGCTTCTATTGGCAGCAGGACTTTATCCACGACAAGATAGAATGATGACAGGTTCTTCTTATCATTGCCTAAACACAAAAGGTTGGGCTGTTTTTTCTCTTCGTCCCATGTGTCCAGGATGGATTGAAGTGGGGTTCCACTCTATATATCAAATAATTATAAAGCAAAATTTTTTAGGTTCAAAATTGTGTGGAAAGATTAAATATTTTCATACCTTATAATATGAAATTAATAAGTTTTTTGCATCTGATATTTTACACCGACTCGCTTTCCCCTTCCCTTGTGCAGCTGGAGGAATTAAGTGCAAAAGCACAAAAATTGCTGCCACGGAAGTATCCCAATTTGCTATAAAATATTATCCAGCAAAAACCAAAATTAATTATGAACTAGGACATTATTACGATTTTACTAACCACACTCATCAGCCAAAAATGTCACAAGCGATGGAGATGTAGTAAAATGTTTCGATTTTTCCAGCAGCTTTGGTGCAAATTTTGGCCAAATATTTAGAAAATAACTACGAGACTCCTTTTTCATTAATGAAAATTCATGTGAAATCTAAAATAAAAATTTACAGAATATAAGATGGGACATTAAATATATATCTATGACCTGTAATGAAATGTTTTAATGACACTTTAGCTTCACGTTTACCATAAATCCGCATTCTGAAAATTTTTTGTAAACAATAAGGATTGACTGAGGGTTATTTTGTCTCATCTGCTCTCGATGTGGCAAAGTAATTTCCATCAATCTTCTTATTTCGACTGCTCCGGATTTTGCACAGGTTCCGTTTAGGCGATTTATCAGTCCATCGTAATCAACGTCGTCGCCTAACTCCACAAGCTTTGAGACTTTGGCGGTGGGGCCGCCTTCTCGAATCCGGGTTGTCTTACTTGCTTTTGCTTTTCTCGTTGTATTCAGATTCTTGTGGATGTTCCTTAATCGTGTTTGGATTAGTCCGGAAGGTCCAACTTCATCAAACAAGATGTTCTGAAGTTTTGAAGAATAATTACTATAATTATTTAAATTATTAGAAGCAAATTTGACGTACTAAACCATTAGCTGATCCTGCGTAGCGCCAACATGGGACAATTTCAATAATAGCCTCTGCTAATAGTTTTTGATCCGCGGAACTTGGTGATTCCCTGTAGACATTTTTATTAATTACACAAATATCAAAGTTATTATAGTTATAGCAAGTTTTTATATAATTCACCCCTTAATTTCCACGAGCTTTGATACAAACTGCTTTATAAGAATGGTTGCAGATTTATCATCTACAAAATTTTTAGAATGACACTGCGACACACGACCTGATTCGTCTCGTCATCTTGTTGCAGGAAATTGTGCAGCATCTAAATGAAGAATAATTAATTATTAAAGTCCAGCAATTATTGGTAAATTTTTTGTTCTTTAGAAAAATTAGTTTGTATTGGTAAATGTATTTACCAGGCCAAAATTATCTTGAAATCCATATTCACGTCCGGAAATAGGAATCAGTGACGTGGATGATCTCGCTACAAAATAATAAATACAAAAATATACAGCAATTAATTACTATAAAGCGTAAAGTGTAAAAAAAGGTTTGTTTCCTTACTATTAACTATCTGTAAGTCCGACCTTGGCGGGCTGCCATCAGTGAGGTTGACAGTAAATTCAGAATATTCTTCACCAGCCAATTTAAAAACAAGGTTTGGAATTCCACTGAGTTCCAATAAAATAGGGAATGTATCTATGTCGACCTCCGCACCTTGATCGTCCTCCAAATTGATGATTGACTCATCGTCTAATCCATATTTGTTTCTGACTGAAAATTAAATAAATATAATTAATTCCTTAGCTAAAACCCTCAAGATTATAGTAAAGAGAAAAATTTTCAGGCTTACCCGTTGATAAGAAAGTGTCAAAGTTTCCATCCAAAGAAATCAATTTCTTCCCCCCCAAAGAATTGCCCACCCGAACTAATTTCGAAGAACTCATTATCGAAAGCAAATCGACTTCCAAACTGCAAGCGAGTAGTTTGCAAATCCCGGGCTGATGTTTATACCGGACAAATTCGAGACGGGGTAAAAGTGGTATAAAATCCATACCCATCAGTATTGTTGTTATACCACGTCAGTATTACTATTTAATACTGTCCAAGTTCAAAAATCCGGTATCGATTTTCCGTAAAATTTTGATACCACATCGTCACCTCTTGATGATACCGGTGAGACGGTATTAAAATTTTTCATGGATCAATACCCAGTTTCTAAGAGTGTACCAGTTATTTAATTACTACTTGGGACAATTTGATACAGTTAGTTAAGACAATATTTACAAGTTCACATTCTCAATTGAGGCAGATTGAGAATCGCTATACAGTCTTGTGCAGAGGTTGTAAGGCTCTGCCAAGTTACTAGATGTTACTGCTGCCGAGACGGCGACCGTATTTATGTCAAACGGTCGGACGGGATGGAAGCGGGTGTACGTTCAGGAATTTGAACGCCAAAACTGAAAGCGCATTCCTGAAAGCTCTAAAAATAGAAGAACTTTCAGGTATGCGTACACAATTCCTTAGAGTTCATGCTAAAAATAGAACTTATGGAATTCGCTACATCGTCTTGACCTGACATGTACATACATACGTTACATAACTACAACAGTTACTGCCATGTAACTGTTCATCTAAAAATAAACAAACTGGAATGTGTCTCCAGACATTTATATTTCCGCATTTATGGAATTCATGCATTCCGCGGATTTCTTAATTAGCATATTTATTTATCTACAAAATACACTTCATGTTTCTAAACATAATGTGGATTTTCTAAATACGTTAATATTCTTTAAAGTAAGAAAATCGAAATATTTACAACATAGACATTGTACGATCTAAGGAAAGGCTGCCCACATGCCCCTTTCAGATCTTGATGCCCTTGGCATATTTGGCACCGTTAGGTGAACGATTCATGCTTAATTTTGATTCCATGACCACACTTGCGCCCACCAGACCCACTTAAGGGCCCTTTGAGCGGGCCGTCACCATGACGGTTTCACAAGCCCTTGCTCGATGTAATTATGAAATACCAAAATATAAGAATTAATGCTCACAAATTTGGAAACACATACATAGGAAATATCTACGATACCCGGGATAGACTGTTCGAGCAATGAAACGTACTGCGAGCCGGATGGAAAATGTATTCCAATAAGCAATTCTTCAAACTGTGGCGTGGCAGAGAGTAAAAGCGATGGTAAAATTGCCTAAATCTAGGTGTATGTATAACGAAATCTAACAAATTATTAGGCCTTTCATCAATAGTATCCTGTTTCACTGTAGGGCGGAATCTCGACCCCGGTACATTATATCTTACCTCGGGGAGTATCCTAAGTTTTGTGATCATTGCCATTGTAGTTTCTACTGTGATCGGGATTTCAGTCTTCCTTAGGCAAAAAATGAAAACTAATGATAATGTGTCAACCAGGTCACAATCAGGTAATCTTTGTACTTTAGTACCTATGTCCGAGGGTGAACCAAAAAAGAGCTGGAGCAAAAGGCAGGAAACGAATTTGCATCAAAATCTTTGCACAATATCAAACTTGAAATTTGTGGCACATGTAACAGGGGGTGGATGGGGCTTAGAAAATAGCGATTTTTGCGTGATATAATTCTTAGATGTCCCCTAGCGTTTTGAAGTGATTCGTTTTCTCTGAAGATTTTCAACCTTAAAAATTCATTGTGGCCGCTGTAGTTAATTAACCTAGGAAGTTGAAAAAAATCTATTTGAGGTTTATTATCAAGCACAAAATTCGATTTAAATCGTTCCACTTCCTACTTATTCCAGCTATTTCTTGGTTCACCCTCGTACAAATGTACATACTCTCCATCCACGGAAGATTAAACTTTTACAGAAATTGAGAATTCTGTCAAACTACGCGACTGCCAGTCTCAACTTCCCTCAAATAATGTCGACGGAAAACGTTGAGACTGACAGTGGCGTAGTTTCTCAGAATTCTCTGTAAAAGTTCAATCCTGCGTGGATGGAGAGTACATACACATTTATACGTACTCACGTGCATATTTACTCATTTAACAATTATCTTTATATTACATGATCAACGAAAGATATTCCAATGCAAGTAATCTCTCGTCCGCCCGAAGTGCAACTTCTCCTGCCCCCACCTCACCCGATTACTCCTTTAACACCTCCCTGGAAAAGTAACCCTTCCCTAATCTGTCTTTCCTACTTGGGCGAAGAATTTTTCGGAAAAGTGTACCAAGTTGAGGACCAAGCCGCAATTGCTCCCCCGACCGGATATGCTATCAAATGTATCGACATGAAAAAAACCCTTCGCAGTTGCAGTAGTCCTTGTACTGATCACACATCTTCCCCATCGGACGAAAGTATTACTCTTAAAAATTCCATGAACCTTCTCCTCAACGAGATGCAAATCATGGACGAACTCTCATCCGACCATGTCGTTCGTTACTATGGTTGCTGGGCAGAAGCGGAAGATTGCAGTCAACTCGTCTTAACAAAGTATCGATTAAAGAAATATATTCACGAGTTGATCAAGGATTCCAATAATTCCGCGACATCCACCCAAAATTCGCCCTTGAGTCACATCTTCATCCGGATGGAGCTATGTCACTCCACTTTAAAACATTATTTGCAAGCATACCCTGAACAAGGTGGGGATGAAATTAGTATTGTTCAACAGGTTGCGACTGGACTCCTCTACGTGCATTCGAAAGGTTACATTCATCGAGATATTAAACCAGGAAATATATTTTTTAAGGTAGAATCGTCTTCGGGAAAGTTGACGTGGAAAATTGGGGACTTTGGTTTAGCAGTGATGAGCAGAGACGAAGGAAACGTAGGGGCGGCGGGGACATATCTTTATCAAAGTCCGGAAATGAGGGAGCGATTAAGGTATACGGATAAGACGGATTTGTACAGTTTGGGGTTAGTTTGGGTCGAAATTTTACATAGGGAAAGAAGGAACTCGGATAGATCTGCAGTTTTTGGTAATTTGCGAGGTTACAGTGGAATTGAGAGACGTAAATACATGAATAATTGTTGCATGGGAAAGTTCAAGAAAGTGGTGAAGATTGTGGATCAGTTGCTAATTGCAGATCCGGGAAGTCGCATTTGTTCCGATAAGTTGTGCACCTTATTGAAATGTTTAAAGGAAAATGAAGTCAGTACATATAACGCCGTAAGAATTTAACGCTGCGTTTTTTAAAAAAGTTATCAGCAAAATTTAAATTTTCGAAAAACGAAAATAAGCAAATTTGAAAGCTGTGAAATCACACGCTTAAAAATTGAAAAGCTGCAGATTCACGGGCCGTGATTCACGGCCCTAGAAATTATTTTTTAGGCTCGTAACGTCATTACCAATCCGCAGACTGGTAAAACCTTTACCAGTCTTGGGATTGGTAAAGGCAGACCAACAAATTTGAAAAATGCCATCAGACGAAGAAAAGGAAATGCAAAACATTCCACTATTATGAACCCGAATGTCGACCCCCCGCCCCACAGGGTCAATGGAAGTTTCGAGATGAGCGCTATAATGCATTCTGCAAAGCGAGAGGGCCGGTTGAGACTGGGAAATTACTCCAACCCCACACTTCTCCTCCTCCTCCTCTCGTGAGGAGCAGCCTTAAGATGTCCAGTAATACTTGGAGATGCAAAATAAATAAATTGACCTAACCCAAAATAGTACTTAAATTGAACATAACTATTGCAATGTCATGAAGAGTAGATGTACATATGTAGATACATACATAAATATTCTGTGTATGCATCCTTGTTCTCATAATATGATCGTGTAAATTTACAAACTTATGCACATATCGGTATCTATGTACATATCTAAGCAGTGATTTTAAGTTTATATAACCAAATACTTCGGATTTATTAAGTAATTCAACGATAACGTAAGCTCTATATTTTTACGTCGTTCACAGTTTTAATCGGTTGAGGATGAGCTAGAGGTCGTCATCTTATATACTGGTAAAACTTCACATACATATTTACACACATATATACATACGTACGTTTATACTGATGTGAGTATGCTTAAGTTTGCATTAAATAAGTATGTATGTACATATGTACATATACATATTTATACTTATTTACGTGCATCCCTGTATGCACTGCGAAATCATGCGATAAAGCTCCTGGTACGTATATTGTGATTGTATCACTTATCTGGCTTATCGTATCCGGTCACTGCCATTGCAATTTTCGATTTATGCACATTCACTAGTAGGTTCGACAATATAATTATTTCCAGACAAACTCAATCCAGAGATGACCAATCCTGGTTTATTCGTCGTAAATTAATATACCTTGTATGTATGTAGATAAGTACCGTACTTACATACATACAGAGATAAATAATATAGCGTGTATTTACATATTAAAGTGTTCTTGCAGTTGTTGATATATGTTACTCGATAGGGCATCAAGCTATTGAATAAATTATTACGACAAGATAAACAGATCATACACATGTAAATTGAGCGATCATGTGAGTACATGAATATTCCGACATAGTTTGGCAAGTTGGCTTAGTGATTGTAAGTTAACGATTTTTTGGACTGTAGTAAACTTTCTAAATCTATAAGGTACACTTCCTAACTAAATTAATACCCTTTAAGGTAAGAACATTACAACATTACATTTGTAGTAGAATTAAAAATTTGTACGATCTGAGGAGAGGTTCTTTACATGCCCCTCTCAAATCTTGATGCCGTTTACATATTTGGTACCCCCAAAAAGTTATGAACCTACAACTTGCAGGCTACAAGCTTCCAACTTGCATTAAAAATCCTGTGTTGTTCGTACATATTTTTACATTTCTGTGATCCCAGACATATACGTACTTATGTCATCATACACATGTACATATGTATCCAGTAGAAATGTTAAAGTTTAGAATTTTTAGATTTTCATTACATGATACTGCTCTTGAATTATTTGAAAAATCCAAATTTCGAGAAAGGAACTATCTAGACCAATAATATTTAAGAAATATAAAAATTCGGCCAAAATTGGATATTTTGGGGACAAACAAAAACAAGTCTTCTTTCGTGTTTTTCACACTTCTGAATCGGTCTGGCGAGCGAAAATGTATCCATGGAATCAAAACACTTCCGGGTTCTGTATCGTGTAGAGGAACCAAATAATCACAGGGCATCCATCAAGATCTGGGAGTGGCATGTATTTAGATAACCTCTCCTCCTCTCGTAAGATGTAATTACACTTTTGTTGCAGGAACAGGGTCCAATTCATGTACGCACAACCATCCAATACATACATCTGATTCAGAGAAATGCACGTGAAGCTTCATAGCAAATTCTTCCAATGCGATGCAGACGTATCGAGAAAAGCGTGTAAAAAGTTTTATACCATGAAATGCAGTTCTGTGGGTGTTCCCGATGATAGAGTTTCCTCAGAGAAATGTATAAGTATCTGGGAAAATCTCGATTGTGACCATGATTTGACGGAAATAGGGCACGGAACTTTGCGCAATGATAATACTAGTTCCCTAAAAATTAATGATGGGAGCAGGAAGTGGGTTAACGAGAAGTCTTTCTTTATGGTGTGTGAGAATAACTGTATTTTGGGTGGGTTTAAATGTGGTAACAAAAGGTGTATCAACACTGGCTCGATGTGTAACGAAAAAAATTGTACGAATAGTGACGACGAAATTATGTGTTATATGTCCAAGTCCGAAGTTTACCCCAAAACGACGGAAGAAATCCATGAAATTACAATTAGTCCTTCAGAGTCAAGTGCAGAGGAGGGCCAAAAATGGGCTACACAAGTAAGTGTGACAAACATTAACACCAGACTTGCTAGTTTGGGTCAGCGCACCACACCGCGAACCACACCAGCCAAATCTGAAACTTAGCGCACCACACCGCGAACCACACCGGCCAAGCCTGAAACTTAGCGCGCCACACCACAAACCACACCAACAAAAATTCAAAATTAAGCGCACCACACCGCGAACCAGCGCACCACACAGCGAACCACACCAGCAAAAGTCTCAAACCCAGCGAACCACACCGGGTGTGGTTCGCTGTGGTTCGGAGCGCATTTTTTGCGAACCAGTGGTGCGCCGATCCAGAAACTAGCAAGTGTGATTAACACTTAGACACGTGACGGGCTTGAATTACAAATTATTAAATTAACTAATGTATGTATTTCTTACAAATTTCGATACAAATAGGATAAATCTGATACGATACCCGGCACAAACTGTTCGAGCAATGAAACGTACTGCGAGACAGATGGGAAATGTATTTTAATAAGCAACGTATCAAACTGTGTCGAGGCTGATGTTAAAAATAATGGTAAAATTATCTACTTGTATTTATTAGATACAAAATCTAGCGATTTACTAGTTCTTTAATTCACCAATAAAGTATTCCATTTCGCTGCAGGGTGGAACCCAGGCGACCCAGGTGTACTAACCTTTGTCGTCATTGGCATTGCAGTTTTTACTCTTATAGGAATTTGCATTGCGGTCTTCGTTAAGAAAAAAAAGAAAAAGAGTAAAAGGTCACGATCAGGTAATCTATATGCAGATATGTAGATAAATAATTTTTACTCATTTAAGCTTAATTTTTATCCAATTTAACGATTAATTTTATCAATAACAGATATTCCACTGCCACCAATCCATCAAGAGTTGCAACTCCTCCTCCCCTCACCTCACCCTGTTTTCCCTTTAACACCTCCCTGGAAAAGCAACCCTTCCTTAATCTGTCTTTCTCTCTTGGGTGAAGGCTTCTTCGGAAAAGTGTATCAAGTCGAAGATCAAGCCGCAATTATTTCCCCGACCTGTTATGCTATCAAATGTATCGACATGAAAAAAACGCTTCGGAATTGTAGTGGTACTTCCACTACATCATCTACTACATCGGCCCAATCCACTGGAAGCGTTAATCTAAACAACTATATGACCACTCTGGTAAATGAGATGCAAATCATGGACCAACTCTCATCCGACCAAGTCGTTCGTTACTATGGTTGCTGGGCAGAAGCGGAAGATTGCAGTCAACTCGTCTTAACGAAGTCTCGATTAGAAGAGTATATTCACGAGTTGATCGCGAATTCCAATAATTCCGTGACGTCCACCCAAAATTCGCCCTTGAGTCACATTTTCATCAAGATGGAACTATGTCACACTACCTTAAAAAATTATTTGCAAGCGTACCCTGAACAAGTTGGGGATGAGATCAGCATCGTTCAACAGGTTGCGACTGGACTCCTCTACGTACATTCGAAAGGTTACATTCATCGGGATATTAAACCTGGAAACATATTTTGTAAGGTGGAAGAATCGTCTGGGAAGTTGACGTGGAAAATTGGCGACTTTGGTTTAGCAGTGATGAGCACAGAAGGCGGAAACGTTGGGGTGGCTGGGACTTATCGGTATCAAAGTCCGGAAATGAGGAAGCATTCGCGGTATACGCTTAAGACGGATTTGTACAGTTTGGGGTTAGTTTGGGTCGAAATTTTATATAGGAATTCAGATAAGTCTGCAGTTTTTGAAAAAGTGCGAGGTTTTAATGGGATTGAGAGACGTAAATACTTGAATACTTGTTGCCTCGGAAAGTTCAAGAACGTGGTGAAGATTGTGGATCTGTTGCTAATTTCAGAACCAGATAGTCGAATTTGTTCCGGAAAGTTGTGCAACTTGTTGAAATCTTTTAATGCAAATGAAGTCAGTATAATAATTTAGGGATGCCCGATGTAACATAAATAAATTTACATAGATGTGTAATGTAATGCGCATACAAATAATTTCTGTAAAAATCACAGTTGTAGGAGCATTAAATTCCCGAGTCCTTAAATATGTACTTAACCTTACCTTTAAATATATCAAGTATGGAAATGCAAAGTAAGTAAATAAATTCCTCTACCCCAAAATAATTCACGTAAAACTTTATTGACAAACCGGATAAACGTACACAATAAGGGCGTGTTGATAGTTCACGTAATTATCATTCGATCAATACTATTTTTTTATTGCCAGAATTTTTGCTTTCATGGAAGTTATTTTTTTTCCAGTCAATGAAAATCATAATTGACCGAGTGAAGTGATGATGAAGACATACATTCCATTAAACTATGTGTAAACACGCCTTATGATGAGAGAATTAGTTAGCGAACCAACTTGTAGCATAGTCCAGTCGAACATTGATACTAAAGTCTACTCAACTTATGTATGTACTGTGCGGGTGGAGCTTGTGAAAAGTGACGTCACGCTCTTTTTAATGGGACACCATGATATACCCATCATACAATCAAAAAATACATTTTATTTATTCAGATTCAGTGTCACTGCTTTCACTATCGGTATAATCATTTAAATTGATAATTATGGGAGTTATTAGCTTATCAGAAATGCCATCCTTTTTCCAATATTTTTTTCCTCTTTCTTACAATGTTCTACTGCTTTACACCAATTATCACTGGTTATTCTATTACATGCATCTATAAATAATTGTTTTACATCTGTTTGTTTTTGGGTCACATTATGTGTAGCTACATAATTTTTGGTATTTGCCCAAATCAATTCGATCGGATTAAAGATACAATGATAAGGAAGGAGCCTTAGAACTTCATGACCATACTCTTCTGCCATTTTGTCAATATAGTACTCGACATTGAATGGCTTAAAAGCTTTAACTATGTCGTATAGTTGAACTTTGGTTGCATTTTGAGGGAACTTGATTTTTTTGCTGGTTAGCCATTCTATTATGACGCCTTTTCTCGAACTGGAGGTAGGTACAGCATCGACTCTAAAATTTATATTTGTAAGTCGTACATATGCAACTCTTACATGCTAATAATTATCATGCAGTTTCAATGTTAGAAATAGTACCTCCTTGAATGGTATTTGGCATTATCAATAATTATGACAATTGGCTCTTCCAATGATACTAAAAGTTGCTCAACAAACCATTTTTCAAAATATTCTGCATTCATGTCTTGATGGTAATCCGCTTGTCCGGTATTTGACCAAAAGATATTTAAAACATTCGGCACGAATCCGTCCTTGGATCCAGCGTGCGTGATAATTAAACGATCACCCTTTCCGATTTTGCAATTTGGTGTCGATTTGACGGTGCCGTCGGTCCAAACCTTTTGCTTTTGGTGATTTTTATTGACCCAAGTTTCGTCCAAAAACACTACATTTTTATTGGTGGCATCAATTTCTTTCTTTCGTCTAAAATACACAACAAATTGTACACAACACAATAAATTGCGCTTGACTGAGTTTATCATCTTTTACATTTTTGTTAAAAATCTAGTCAAATAGGGATTAAGTTCAGCAATGCTCATCAATAATTAAATTAATATCACGGACAAAGAGTATGATCATGTTGTACAAATTAAATATGTTTTATTCAAGCATGCAATATGACGGTTCGTTTTCAATAACTATCGATTTTATATGAGTCACGATAATTAAAACTTACTTCAAATAGTTTTTACGTTGTTCAACAATATCTTGTCTTTCCATTAATCGTAATCTGTGATCGAACACTTTATACTCAAATCCAATTTGAGGCATTATAATCCGTAGAATACTAATTTTAATGGGTGATTCAATAAATGTGTCGATTTTCTCATTAATTTCGGTTAAGAGCGTTTGTAGCGTGATATGTGCTCCTGAAATTTATATTATAAATCTTTAATGAAGTGATTTATTAAAATGTATGCATGCATATTTGCACCTTGTTCGAAATTTCTATAAACCAAATTTCGTATCGCGGTTTGATCGAAATCATCAATTTCCCATTTCGTTTTTCGTTTTTTTCGAGGCGGGGTGTTTAGATTAGGTTGTTTTTTAATACAACCTCTCACAGAATTTTCATGGATTCCTAGCATAGACGCTGCGATCCCTGCAATCTGAAGCAAAGGTAGAAATCAATTAATTGGATTTTGAACCTTCTATTCTTATATTAAGGTTAGTCGAAGAAGTATCGTCCAGTTGTAGTACTTACGTTTCGTTTCCCATTGGATAAAAATGCAAGTTGATGATTCTCATCTGGTCCGTGTTCATCTAAAGTTTTTAAATAATTGTACACATTTCGAATGATCTTTCGAGTTCCACTAGTAATTGTAGTTCGCTTGGCCCTTGGGGGTTTTTGGTTGTGTAATAACTGTGGCTGCAGCATTATGATATTATTAATTTAATGATATGTGTGTGTCAACCATAAGAATTTTAGTTGCAATTTGTTAAAAACAAACAATTAGTATTGATGTGTTGATGAAAAACTTTGTTTTGACAGCTTATTTTCCGCACTTAAGTTCAAATAATATGGAGAAAATCTTTGATTGGATGATGAAGCTGACGTCACTTTTCACAAGCTCCACCCGCACAGTACATACATAAGTTGAGTAGAGTATAATTGGGCCAAGTACGATTCTGTGGCAAACCTGAATTAAATCACATACACGAGTTATTAGAGATTTGAATAATGAACGATATAAAATACAATATTTGAATTACATTCATTTTCCACAGTGTATTATCCTTGCACGTGGTTGGTCCTACCGGGAGCTTGTCGAAAAGGCATTCGAAATATTCCTAAAATTTGGTAAGATGTTAGAATAGTGTAAAACAAAAGTATAAAAAAAACTATTTAAAAAGTAAACAATGAAAGTATGGAAACCCACGCTTAGTAAGGTTTCTGAAATTTTATAGTTTGTACAAACGGCGTCAATATTAGCTTCGGTGTCCAACTGCACTCCGAACACTTTGGCTTGACACGTCTTGAAATGTGTGGCGCCCTATAGAACATATTCGCCAGTTAATTAATTGTTTTTAAGACTTTACGGAATGACTCTTAATTTTGCACAAAATTTGTTTGCACAATTTTCTGTGTGACAAACACCCGCTCAAAATTCACACTACACAAAATTGCTGCTTCACTTACGGGAATGATTGCATCGTTGTAACAGGCGTAAAACCCTTGCGAAATTGTGTCGTTGTGCTGAAAACAAAGCGTTTCCAACATGTTAATTGACCACTGAAAGTCCTCGCCCAATCTGAGTTGGCAGACAGGAGGAAGGTTCCAGTAAGAATTGCTGGGGGCAGTTTTGGTGCACGTGGCGACCACCAGAATTACTGAGATAATTTTAAACATTTTTTTTCAACCTGGGGGTAGAAAAGTTTGTCAAAAAGTAAATATTTGCTTTGGTGGAATAATCCAACGAACGACTGATAAACCGATTGTGATTGTGTACCTTAATCTCGATGGGCTTTAAATACGCGTTCGATTGACGCATGTATTTAGGAATCTGTGTAGGAGGCAGGGTATTCCGACCCAGGGTTTTATTGGGTTGGGTTTTTTGGGTTTTAATGGGTTTTAATGGGTTGTTAATGAATAAAACCCATTGGGTTTTACCATGTTAAATGGGTTTTATTTGGGTTTTAATGGGTTTTATTCGGGTTTTAATGGATTTTAACTGGGTTTTACCTTAAAACTATATTCTAAAAGCTGGAAACATCTATCATACGTGAGACGAAGTTGTTTTACGGCAGCTAAGCAGTTTAGTTCTTTAATATTGTACGTTTTGAAACCAGGAATAAATCAACGAATCCATCCCTTACCATCACAGGTTTCAAGTGATACAGAAAAGTAATTTCGGAGTAGGTTAACTGATCATATATTATTTAATACTACTCTAGACCATAACAAGTTCTTTTTACGGATATACTTTTGCTGCTCATAATAATGTATTTCGTTATCCATAAATACTCGATTTTTTCCAGAAGTAATAATGCACCTTGAGATCGTTAAAAATGATTAAATTTGGAAACATTAAATTTTGAAAAACTTTACAAGTTTTATGAATTTTTACTCAACCACAAAAGCCCTGGAAGCTTTTGCTGGTTTGAATTTCTCTCTAATAGGGACATATTTAGGTTCTGTTGGAGGTAGAAAAAGCTTATATTTTAATTTTCAATATGTATGCTTGGAAATGTGTCGTATGGGGGACATTTTCACATGAACTGCTTACAAGACAAGATTTTTGCCGTTCTGGTCAACTTGGATTTCATTATGATGAGAGGTAGTATTCAGGAAAAAGAATTAATTATGGTCCCAAATGGTATTAAATTGTCATCAGTTAATATGAACAGATACGTACATATTCTAACATGGACAAGGATTTGTATATGTATGACTGGAATTGGGTTGCAATAGTTGTGAAAATTTTTTTCAGTGTATTATTTAAGTAAAACCTAATAAAACCCAATAAAACCCATTAAACCCATTAAAACCCATTAAAACCCCTGGGTCGATACTTTTTGAATAAAACCCTGGGTTTTTCCGAACCCTGGTAGGAGGCAGTAATTTTTGGAGAATTTCCATTAAATCTTGAATCCATTATTTGTATTATTGCAATAATATATTCCGTTTCGTTCAATCAAAATTATTTGCGATATTTTTCCTTGTTAATTTGCATCATCAATTTACTCCAATAATGCGAAGTAAGTAATGCTGAGCAAATCTAGGATGCAAATTAACAAACATTTATTTTGTGTGATTTTGTGTTTTCTAAGTATTTACGCAATCAACCCGGATCTTCGTTGGAAAACAGGAATGTATGCAATTTTGAAAGTTAAAAATGTTGTATGCCATTTTAGTGTAACACAGGGTTAGACTTCATTTCATTTCACGTGACGAATTTAAGGAAGTGTAAATTAAGAGATTCCAAAGGATTGGCTGCTGAATGTTTATGCAAACGTATCTGAAGTAATTACTTATTACTGATTCGTGACTTTAGCGCGCTTTAAGGTTAGTCCATAAATAACTGACATCGACGACAGATGAGATTTTTTCAGATTTGTAAATAATTACATATACAGCTCAGGCATGTATTCTTGATCGGGCAGAGCCGTC